CCAGGACCATGGAAGCAAGGAAGGAAATTCAAAGATATGTGTGAAGTCAACCAACCTGCAGTGGGCCAGCGTGGTTGGCTATGGCCTAATCACCCCTACTTAGGACAAACTCCGAGCCCTTTAGTGGGGACGTATACTAAACTAGTGATTAGTTTATAAATTTTTTTTTCCTTCAATGTGTTAATCTCTATTTTTTAATTAATGAATTTATTGTTGTAGGTTTTTGGAAGATGTTCGAACGAGAAACCCAAAAGGCCATGTCTATTGCAAACACTACTACTTTTTTAACGTTCGGAACTAAATATTATGGTTTGTGAACTTTGTTTTAATAATATAAGTTGGCAAATAGGCAGGTCCATCAGGACGTTGGTAGCCTAGCAACCAGTACCAGGGATCAAGCTGTGCGTGCAATAATTAAAGCTAGCTACAAACGGTCAGTTTTATCTGAACAATCGAGTCGTTCAGATAAATCTAACGTGTGCAGACAAAACTGAACTGAACAAATTGCAGTTTTGTTAGATTAATATGAACGATTTGACCGTTCAGATAAAATTGAGCGTGGGTAACTTTATGCTGCTGCAGTCCATTATTATTAAAGCTCTCGACTATTTTTTGACCGACTTCCCAAAAGAAGGAGGTACTCAATTCGTCTGTATGTTTTTTTTTTATGTATGTTACGGCATAAATCCGCCGCTAGTGGACCGATTTTGATAATTCTTTTTTTATCCGAAAGGTAATGCTTGCAGGTGGGTGCCATTTTTTTGATTCAAATTTTTGAGTCAAAGACTACGACGTAGTTAAATAGTTTACCTCAAAATCGCGCGACGAAATTTAGGGTCATTTTTGCTTTCTTTGCTTATTTTATTTATTAACGTTTTTCAGTCTTACTGGACCCGGATGACTGTTTGACAGTTGGCAATGCTTGTTTAGAGAAAGACAAGTTTTATACTGTCGCACGCTCCTGCTTCGGTGACGGATTAGTAACTGCCTCTAGTAAGTTATTTCACAGTACTGGCAAACGAGCTAGGTGTGACCCAGTTTCACTAAAAAAGCGAAGCGACAGCTGCCTTACATCTTGCTCGCACAGTACCATTGAATACCTCCGCACGGAATTAGCAAAAAATACTTAACAAGTAGTCAATGTCTTCTTCCAGACTGTGCTAGCATTTATGCAGAATTTCAACGTCATCCGTTGAGCCGTTCTTTACATACAAACATCCAAACTTTTACATTTATAATATTAGTAAGTTTTTTGTTTCAGCCGAAACTTGGAAAGAACATAGAAAGCTGTTAAACCCAAAATTTAATCTGAATTATTTGCTGAGTTTTTTAGAAGTATTCAATAAACAAGCAAGGGATTTAGTAAAAGAATTCGAACCTCATATAGACAATGGAGAATTTGATCATGGATATTTCATAAGACATAATGAAATGAGAACGATTTGTTGTAAGTTACATTCACTAATAAGAAATAATATAAAAAAAACATACAGACGAATTGAGTACCTCCTTCTTTTGGGAAGTCGGTCAAAAACATACTTCTATACTAATAAGAGAAAACTTAAAACACATTTTTTTGTTAAGTAGGATCAATCGCAGCATATTTTTCAATCAAACTTTTTTAACAAAAAAAGTCTACATTACCGACACGGCAAACGCTTTTTTTTACACGCTATTCAATTTAGGGATAAATAAATTGGAAAACATTGTCATTCAAGTAAGGGAGAAAAACTATAAGCCAATAGGAGCAAATAAGCAAGGTTGCCATTGTGACTAATTACTCTTGACAAATGGCAAGGGTTGTCGTTGTCATTTGAGGATCTTGACATTTGCAATTGAAAGTTTTACGCAAACTAAACAAGTGTTTTTAATATTAAAAAATATTTTATGTATTTATTTATTTAATATAGTACAAGTATCAATAATATCCTTCGAGATGGGGGAATACAGGAGAATGTTAAGGATATCCTGGAGAGACAAAATTAAAAATGTTACCGTGTTAGAGCGCATGAAGAAAAAGACAGAAGTGATATATACAGTAAAGAAAAGAAAGCTGCAGCACCTAGGTCACATAATGCGAAATGTCAAATACGAACTACTGCAGCTCATCTTATAAGGCAAGATCCACGGAAAGCGAAGAGTAGGTCGAAGAAGAACGTCCTGGCTCAAAAACCTACGCCAGTGGTATGGAAGAATCACCCGTTCGCTATTCAGAGCCGCGGTGTCAAGAACGAAAGTCGCTAATGATCGCCGAACTTCGGAAGAAGATGGCACTTTAAAAAGAAGAATCAATATTAGAAAGTCTTAATTATTATTGTATTTTTTTACAGTAACATCAATCGGCTTAGATTTTAACAACGACAAAGAAACTTTGGACGAATATGAGAATGCTTTTCTCACAATCTTAAACACTTACATTAAACAAGGGCTAAATTTGTGGCTGCACTTTAAATTCTTCTGGATACGAAGCAGACTGAGGATAATCCGAAAGACCAATCGAGATATAATGCACAGAATAATAGACAAAGTAAGTTGTAACATAGAGAATAAACGCTCCGCATACGCTCTGTTCAGACAGTTTAAACCAAGCATATGTAGGCTTTAGCTGCAAGAAGGTGCCGCTCGCACAGAGTAATAAAATAAACGCCCAAGCTGCCATGTGACTTCGTAAAAATAAAGAAGCAATCTACAAACATTCATTCATCTCCCTTACCTTATCCTAGTCCCTTAGGGTCCGGCACACCGGGTTTTCGTCCTCCAAATAACTCTATCATCCGTCACCTCAGCATCCCTCCCTTGATCATGTCACCTTTCACGCAATCCATCCATACACTAAGTCTACCTCTACTGGTGTACTCTTGCACATTCATAACTAACGTCCCTCTTGTTACATTCATCTCTCCACATAACATATCCATACCATGTTTTACTTCTTAATTTCTCAACCAGTGGGGCTACTCTCAAACTTCTCAAATCTACTAATATCTCCAACATATTAAAAAAAATATCAAATGTGTTGCCTAATTTTATTAGTCTATGGATCGGACACCTAGGTGAGCGTGTTTCTCGACACAACTCATTTCTGGAAAGAGTACTTCCTCTTCTCATCCTCTACTTATAAGAAAAGAGAGGACTAAAATTTGACCTCTGCATATACTCTACAAATATACAGTGGTCGTAGATCCTAAGGCGACAAACTGTGTTATTAACTCTTCTTTCCTTACCCATTAATATCTTACAAAGGAGGGATGGGCGGAAACATTTATCAGGAAAGGGGAAAGTTAGGAAAGTGTCGTTTTTTTGTTCGCGACTTCTACAAATCTTTTTAGATAATACTTATGTATGTTACTGTTTCAGATTGTAGAAAGAAAGAATTATGTTTATAACAAGATCAATAGCAATAGTGATGAAGGTATGAATATTAAAACCATTTATATGAATCATTTTGATTATATTATTAATAAGATATATGTTCGCAGCTGGCAATTTTAAACCATTCCTCGACGTGCTATTCGATGTCAAGAATACAGTTGGAGATGAAGTGATGAATGACAAATTTATCAGAGATCATGTGAATACGCTAATTTTCGCTGGACATGATACTATCACACTTGTCATGCAAGTCGTGATGATAGTGATAGGTTCTTACCCCGCAGTGCAAGACAAACTTTATTCTGAGTGAGTAAATATGTTCTTGAGTAAGAAGAGGCCAAACACCATGATGTCTGCACATATCTGCGAAGAAATTCTATTTTCTTTTTTAATGAATATTTACATTGACAAAAATTTACATTCTATACACTAGACCTAATTACTACATGACCTAAGACCGGCTACGTGTGCGCACAGCCATTGTCCCCTGATCTGGCAGTCTGAC